TATTATATTAATGGCATTTGCTTGGGCCAAGAGGCCAAACCAAACCCAAACTAAAATCATAGCTAGAATGAACCATCTTATTGAAAATCCTTGGTTCCCATCCTCAGTTCTGAACTGAAAATCCAAAAGGTAGTGGACTTGGTAATGAGCCTGGCAGTTGCCAACAAATTTGCCAGCTTCAAAGTAGAAAAGCTGATCACCTGAGATATGCTGCCTCAGACATAAAATCTACATTTCGCCCCAATTTGTAAACTCGTGCAGCCTGCCTAAAGTCTTCTCGCAGTTTATAGATAACAGGGCTAGGCATCTCATTTAAAAAAGACAGCACGCCTTTTAACCACCATCTTGCTCTCTTAATCACCCCTTAAAATTCCCTACATACGTTCAGCCGACACAAGAGGGCGGGAACCTCACACCAACCAGGACATCATAAACGCTCTTTCCCGACGTAAATCGCCCTGCGCTGCGAATCGCGACTTGCCCAGGACTAAAGCGGCTCTTCTCTGATGGGTCATGCGAGCACCCCACTCCTCGCGACAAGAGATCCCCCCCCCCAGGAGTCTCTCTCACCTGGAGCAGCGCGGCCAGCAAGACGCAAAGCCACACCTGGAAGGGGCCCATCTGGCCCACCAGAGAGAAGGCCTCTTCCACCTCCATGGCGAGACTCGCGAGGTGGCGGTCTTCCTCCTCCTCCCGGGTCGCGCATCCCCTTCCCCAGAATTCTCTTTTCCGGAGCCAAGCGAAGCAGCGTTCACAGAACCCACATCCGAGAAGCAGAGAGCAGAAGTAGACATGCGCAGAAAGGAATTCCGACTTCCGCTCTAGGAAAACTATTCAGCTGGGTAAGAGATTTCCGGGTTATGTCAGACGTCGCCTTTGTCCTGCCGGGTAAGGTGCTCTTTGGGAAAGTGCAGCTGCGGTTGGGCGTTAGGGGTCGCTCGTCTCTGCTCCTTCCGTCAGACACCGAAGTTCAGATTCTTCTTAAAACTGCACCTTCTTTGTGTGAGAAATAAGGTTCAGGATGCAAAGTGCTTTGAAAATTAAGCAGATAAAGTCGACCTAGAGGCCCGTGAAACCGTGCAACATGGCTAATTAGGCAGGGCACTGAGACCCGGAGAAAGAATTCAGATTCCTCTCCTGACATTTATCGCACAAGTTTCTTCCACCCAATTAAAGTGATTGCATAAATGCAGCCATACTTCATTATGCGGGAATAGGATTAAAATTAGCCCATTGTTAGATTCGTATTATTTGGAAGAAATGACAAGAGTCCATTCTGTTCAGGCATTTTAATGGTTTAATTCCAATTTAGAGATTTGGTTCTTGTTAAGATTGAATCAAATATCTGAATTCAGAAGGGAGATGAGCCCTCCTGATATTTACTAAGGCTCTCAGTTGCTAATGGAAAAGTGTAGGCCAACATAATGAAGAGTCAGCACTGCTTTGTGCTGTGGAAGAGCCCCTCCACTGCACCTGGTTCTGCTTCAGATATCACCACTGTGGGAGAAGCAGGCAATTATTTTGTGGGGTGCCGCAGAACTCGGTATTCTCTTCCTCTTTAACAAATAAAATTAGTGGACCAGTGAAATGCTGTGGACATAAATATACTTGGATTTCAGTAAGGCATTTAACAAAGTAGACCACTTCTTCTTCTTGGTAATCTAGAAAAGTAGGATAGGATAGACAGCATCTTCTTGGTAATCTAGAAAAGTAGGATGGGATAGACAGCATCACCACCAGATGGATTCATAGCTGGTTGATAAACCACACTTGATGTGTAGTTCTTCATGGAACTACATCTATATGGAGGGAAGTATGCACTGTACCCCAAGGTTGCATTTTAGGCCCAGTACACTTCAACATCTTCATAATTGATTTAGATGAGGGAACTCATCAAATTTGCAGACAACAACAAGCTGGCAGAAATAGCCAACACCCTAGAATCAGGCTCAGGATTCAAATGGATCTCAACAGACTTGAACACTGGGTCCTATCTAACAAAATGAAATTCAGTGCAGAGAAAAGTAAGATTTTACACTGAGGTAGGAAAAACCAAATGTACAAGTACAGATTAGGTGAAACTTGGCTCAATAGCAGTAACTGTGAGAGGGTCACTGGACAGTCACCTAAATATAAGCCAGTAGTGTGCTGCAGCAGCCGAAAAAGCAAGTATAATCCTAGACTGCATTAACAGGAATAGAATCAAAATAATGTGAAGTGTTAGTACCATTTTATAAAGCTTTGGTAAGACCACAATACTGCTTACAATTTTGATCACAATACAAAAAAGATGTTGAGACTCTGAAAAGAGTGCAGAGAAAAGCAACCAAGATGATTAGGGGGCTGGAGGCTAAAACATACGAAGAATGATGGCAGGAATTAGGTATGTGTAGTCTAGTGAAAAGGAGTAGGGGTGATATGTGGCAATGTTCCAATATTTGAGGGGTTGCCACAAATAAGTGGGGGTCAACCAATTTTGCACAGCACCAGAAGGCAAGACAAGAAGCAATGGATAGAAACTAATTCAAGAGGGTAGCAACCTAGAACTAAGGAGAAATTTTCTGACAGTGAGAACAATAAACTAGTGAAATGTTTTGCCTTCAGAAGTTATGGAGGGTCCAAAAAGAGACTGGAGAGCCACTTGTCTGAAATGGTATAGGGCAGTGATGGCAAACCTTTTAGAGACCAACTGCCCAAACTGCAACCCAAAACCCACTTTTGTATCATTGGGTGTGGGATGGGCATGGCCCATTGGGTGGGTGTGGCCCATTGGGTGGGCATGGCTGCGATGGTAACGGCAGACTGGGTGGGACTAAAAAGTTCAATCAATCAATTCCAACTTTGCGAGATCTTTTTTTTCCTGCAAGAAGTTGAAATTAACTGATTGATTGAATCTTTTTTGGGGGGACACATGGCGACGGAGGCCTAAAGTGAAAAGATTTTATAAAACCCAGCTGAAGGCCTAGGACTGGGGCAACGGCACGCGTGCCCTGAGAGAGGGATCTGTGTGCCACCTGTGGCACGCGTGCCATAGGTTCGCCAGCATGGGTATAGGGTCTCCTGCTTGAGCAGAGGGTTAGACTTGAAGACCTCCAAAGTCCCTTCCAACTCTGTTATTCTGTTAAGGATCTACATGAAGATATTATGTTATGAAGCTGTTGGGTGAGATCATCTGTCACATGGGTTGAGGTGCCCAGAAGGTCCAAAAATGCTCTCCAGAACTCTGATGTGAATTGTAACCCCCGTCTGAAATTATGCGTTGCGGAGCCGCATGTAATTGGTAGATATGTTGCACAAACATCTTTGCTAGAGTGTTGGCCGTGGGAATCTTGATGCATGGAATGAAATGCACCTGTTTGGAGAACAGGTCAGTCACCACCCAAATGACTGTGTTCCCTGCACTCTCTGGTAACTCCATGATAAAATCCATGGAAATCTCCTGCCAAGGTGCTGATAGGCTTGCTACTGCCTGCAATAGCCCATGTTCTACCTTGTCTTCGTTTTGCCACTGCACAGATGGGGCAACTAGCCACATAGCTTTCAATGTCCTTCTTTATGGATGGCCACCAAAACTGTCTTTTTACCAGATGGAGTGTTTTTATGAATCCAAAATGTCCAGCCATTTTTGAGTCATGACATAGTTGCATAAATTTCAGTCTCTGAGCTTTGGGCACATATAGTTCCCCCCACTCACCCAAGGCAGTCCATCATCTATCGAGTAGAGGTTTTTATGGCTCAGGAATCATTCATCTGTTTCCAGAGCCTGAACTCCACTCCTGCTTCGCTATGCAGGGGTTTCGATTTCTTTGCTTGCAAGTGTGTGGTTACTGAAGCCGCTAATTGTTTAGATGGCATGAGGGGATTCACCAGTTCTGTTTTGGTACTGTTATACTGTGCCAACCTTGACAAAGCATCTGCTAAGAATTTTTCCCCCCAGGCAGGTATTTGATAATAAAGTTAAACCGGTAGAAGTGTTGAGACCACCTAGCTTGTTTTGGTGACAGTTTTCTGGGGTTTTTTAAGGCTTCAAGGTTCTTGTGGTCAGTCCATACCTGGAAGGGGATTTTACTTTTTTCCAGGAAATGCCTCCATGTGAGGAGGGCCCAGTGCACTGCATAGGCTTCCTTCTCCCATACTGCCCACCTCTGTTCTGTCTCGGTGAGTTTTCTGGATGTGTAAGCACAGGGCTGCAGTTGGCCGCCTTGATTTTTTTGCAACAGTACTGCACCTGCCACTACATCGCTAGCATCTGCTTGTATGACAAAAGGCTTCTCTGTGTCTGTTTCAGGACCAGCTCAGCTGCAAAAAGTCTTTTCAGTTTTTCGAATGCGGCTTGACATTCCATAGTCCATTTTAATGGTTGGCTGGGTTTTGGTTTGGCCCCCCCTCTTGTTTTTAGCAAGTTTGTAATGGGAAGCGCGATTTGTGCAAAAGAAGGGATGAACTGATGGTAGAAATTAGTGAACCCCAGGAAACTTTACAATTGTTTCTTTGTGTGTGGCAGTGCCCATTCCAGTACTGCCCTGACTTTTTCTGGATCCATTTCTATCCCCTTATGAGATATGCGGTACCCTAAATAGTCATTTTTTTCTTTATGGAATTCATACTTTGACAGCTTGGCGTAAAGTCGAGCAGCCCACAATTTATTCAGTACCGCCCTGACCAGCTTTATGTGTTCCTCCCTTGTTTTGGTGAAAATTAAGATGTCATCCAGGTACACAAGAACCCCCTTGTAGAGGTGCTCCTGGAGGATCTCATTAATTAGTTGCATGAAGACTGCTGGCACTCCCTGCAGTCTGAACGGGAGCACCCTAAACTGGAAGCAGCCCATGGGGCAGTTAAATCCTGTCTTCCATTCATCCCCTTCTTTAATCCTAACTCGGTAATATGCTTCCCTTATGTCTAATTTTGAGAATATTTTCCCTTTTGCTAAGTGGGCCAGCATATCCTTCATTAGTGGCAGGGGGTAGATATTGTTTCGCTCACTGCATTTAAAGACCTGTAATCCACACAGAGGCGAAGAGACCCTTCTTTCTTTTCCTGAAATAAAACTGGAGCCGCTGTTTTTGGTCTTGCTGGCTGTATGAAACCTCGCACTAAATTTTTTTCTATGAACTTCTGCAGTTCTTCTAGTTCTTGGGTCATCGAGTACATTTTGGGCTTAGGTAATTTGGCCTCCAGTAGAATTTCAATGGCGCAGTCTATCAGCCAATGGGGCAGCTCATCAGACAGCTTTTCGCTAAACACCTCAGCTAAATCCTGATATTCCTTGGGTATTGCTTCCAACCCGCAATCTTTTGCCATTGCTACTACCTTGGGGTTTCCTTTTCTCTTTGTTGTTTGGCCTCCACCCCAGGTGGCGTGCTTTTGCTTTGGGAACCTCAACTCTCCAGTCTTCCAGTCCACCCTTGGATTCCATTTCCTAAACCATGTCATCCTCAAGATTAGGGGCCACTCCATGCCTGGAGTCACAATAAAAGTCAAAGTCTCTGTGTGATCCCCATCGTGAGTTGGATTGGCTGGGTGGCGAGGGTGGCTGGGATCCCCTCTGCGATGGACCAATCTAATTGGCCAAATGATATTGGCTTCTTCAGCCTCCTCACTGGGATTCCTAGGTTCCCCACCAAGGTTGGGCTTCTGAGGCAATGGGTGCAACCCGAGTCCACTAGGATGTTCAGGGTTACCTTGCTCGGCATCCCTGGACTCAACAGTTCTATGATTCTGGTGAGGGGCGCGATGGATCTTCTTACCAGGGGTTCAACTTCAGAGTCGCTGTCAGAGGATTCGGGTGGTT